CTAATAAGGAGTTTCTTCCTGCCCAGAATCTAAGTCTAAGGGAGGAATAGAATAAAGACACCTCCGTACATACTGTCAGACCAAAACCAGGAAATGCATTCCAACAGCCTTCCCCACAAAACGCCAAGGAATCAGTCTCCACGTTTCTGAATTTTCCACCAAAATCTCACAGACCCTTCAGATCGCTGTGGTCTCTGCAGGCTCAAGGCTGCAGACCAGGGGCTGTCGCTTAGGGGATTCTGTCCCCATGAGTACTTGACAGCTACGTCTGGGGATGTTCTGGTCTTTGCAACTGGAGCAGAGGGGGAGGGGCTACTGGTGCCTGGAGGGGCAGGCTAGGGGTGCGCTAGACACCTACAGGGTGCAGGACGGTACCCACGGTGCCATCCCTGATGGCAGGGACACAGTGGTTAAGAAACCTGGCCTTGGGGCCAGCAGGTGGCATGGTGGTTAAGGTGTTGGATTCCCACATGGCTGACCAAAGCTCGAGTCCCAGTCCTGGAGGGATAAAAATCACCTTGGGCGAGTGTGCGTAAGTGCCCAAAATTCCAGGAGGAGACTGAAGGAGAGGGGTCCTGGTGTGGCCATCCTCCCTGGGGAGTGACGTCTCACTTTCTCTCTCTCTTTCCCCCTCAGTTGAGTGTACACGCCTACGGCAAAAACCTAAATTAAGAAAAGAAAGGAAAACAGGGACCAGTTGGTGGTGCGAAGGTTACGTCGCTGGACTCCCACACAGCTGACTGCCAGTCCCTCACTAATTACCCTCTTCATTAGGCTAAGACGGGGAGCTGGGTCTACTCCCCGTGCGTAGATTCACGCTAGCAGCAGGCTATAATCTCCTTTTCAGAAAAGAATTTTTATGACTCTCCCAGCATCCCTAAGGCAGGGCTCAGAACTGTTCACAAGTGGGGAATAAATCTCCTTCGTCTTCTATGAATTACTTATTTCAATTAGGCCAGCTTATTTTAAATTGGAGAGGATGAACGATCCTCACTTTTGCTTTAGTTGATTAATGACAGGGCCAAGGTTCAGGGACACCCCCACTTCTCCATAATGACCTCCAGAGCCAAGAGCCACCTATATCTCCTAAGGCCCCGCTTTGGGGAAGGAGTCCCCTCTGCAGCATGCTGAGGGCTTCAGGAGCAGTCGGGTACACCAAGATGGCGGTGAGAATTCGGGAACCGAGGACCCCAGTGGCCGATATATTTGCACGTTCTTGTAATAGTGAATTACATGGTGGTGCTCAGGGATCACTTTTGTTTGTTTTGGTTCATTTTAATAAAGAAGGGCCTTTTGAAAAGTTTCTTTCCTTCATGTTAGATGGGGTGCATGGTGGGGGACCCTCGGCAGGGTCTTTCTGCTGCTGCCTCCCCCCAGGCCTGCCGCCATCCAAGACCATGTGTGTACCCTCGGAATGTCCCCATGCTCCTGTAGACCTGGGGCACGAACCCCGGTACCCCGTGCGGTCTGAGCGTCTACTGCCTGCACCACAAGGCTGGCCATTCCAAAAAACCCTGACCTTCATTTCAGGAACCCGAGTGAGCCAGTTACGAAGGAAAACACCCACGAGACAGAACGTTCACAATACAGTTTGACGTTCTGTGTTTGACTTTGCATTCGTGCAAGTGTTCACGGCTATTCGGGGCCAGGGGTCCGGCAGGGAGCCCCAAGGTCAGGGCCTTGCTCCCGTGGAGCAGACGCACAGGATAGAGCATGGCTGCCCATGCAGTTTTCATGTCTGCTACTAACTATGCCTTTCTCTGTTTTCTCAAACCAGGCTTCCATGTAACATTAGCGCTTTGGGAAGCAGAGTTCAACGTTCTACATCTTGGCCTTGGAGTCTCTGGGACCCACTGCATCATAAAGCCAGAGTGGTCACTGCATGAGCTCCTGAAGTTGCAGACGAAATCCAGCCTGCTTCTCTTCGTCTACAAGGGTGTTATTTATGAAACCATTGCTGCAATAGAGGCTCAAGCCAAGTTTCCGTGTCTGGCATTGGGGTTGCAAAAATTCCCAAGAAGCCCAGGCTACCACTAAATATCAGGGCTTTATCTGTGAGGCCATCCTGCAATGTGACGACAGAGAACGTGTTCACACTTCACAGTCAGGAGAGACCATTCAGGTCCCCGTGCAAGTTCCCATGAATATCCAGGAGAAAGACCCCAGTGGTGGTCTTCAACGTCCCCCTGGCTCTGTGGCCTGGGTAGAGTTCTGTATTCTAATATGTAGCAGTGGGTGAAGGCAGCTGGAGAGATGCGGGGTTCCACAAGTTCCTGAACTCCTGGAGAGAAAAGGTGCTGCCCCCGACCTGTGAACCTCACACCAACTTCACTGTCACTCCCACAGCTGCGGACAGCAGCACCCCGAAATGTGGCTGAGTCCCGCACCTCAGAACCATGCCATTAGGGCCCTCTGTGCTCCAAAGGTCCCTGCCTAAAAAGACACTGATCTTCAGACACAATCACAGCAAAGTAGACATCGATACAACTTTCCGAGCAAACATGGTTGCCCTGTTTTGAGCAAGGGACAATGTCCGTTTACGGCTAAAGGAGAGTTCGACACTATCGAGGTTTGACGGATGTTTGAAAACAGCCCTGGAGTCATTCAGCATTCACAGAGAAGTCTGTCAGACACTGTGACGAGCACCTTGTGGGTACACATGAGCCCGCAGAACCCTGACTCCTGCAGATGCAGCAACTCGGGTTCTGTCTCTTTCAGAGGTGAGGAGGCTGAGGCGCAGGGCAAGCAGATGACTTTCCTAAGGTCACAGACACACATGGGGGAGGGAAGGTGGGCCAGCACGCCCGTCTCTGTGCTGAAAAATACAGAGAACAGCTCCTCCTCTCCAGGGAGCAGGTCGGTGGGCCCTGCACCCTAAACCCAGCAGCCCTGAGGCGGGGCTCAAACCAGCCCCTGCAGACAGCAGAGCCTGCGTTTGTGAAGCGAGAAGCGAGTCAAGCGCACGCGGGAACACATGACGACTCTCGTGTGACAGCTCGCCCCACGTGGCAGCGCCCCGTCCTCTTTCTCCAGGTGCCGAAGCCAAGGCTGCTCGTGTCCGCCCTGCAGTGGAGTGGTCTGAGACAGAGGGGCAGAGACCTCACGGGAGACTAAACTCAGATCTCCCAGAGCAGTGTCTCTCCCATCTCAGGCAGGCGGGAGGAAAACCCTGGTCCTTGCATCCAGGCTGCGACCATCCTGCCCCTGCAGTTTCGTGGCTGTGGCAGCTCAAATAAGTCGGAGTACCCTGACACCTGGGTCTGTCCTCGCCACAATTCGGTGGTGCCTGGCTGACAACTAAGGACGTCCGACAGAAACGTGATGGAATCTCCCAGAAAGGGAACCTCCATTTCGTACAGGACGCAGGGTGTCGTAAAAGTCCCCCGACCACATCCAAAACACAAGCAAACTAGTGCCTCCGACACTTGTCCACTCAGGGACGGGATGAAAGGTGATGAGGACGATGACAAGACTGACATGTCAGACGAGAACTGTTCGAATCCCAACGACCCAGACCTTCTTTGAGAAACGGATAAAGCCTTTCAGTGCTTTTTGTTAAAAGAACAAGCAGACCTTTAAAAAAGTGCATTCTGATAGTGACACGGCACGTTAAAACAAAACGCAATAGAGTACAGCAAGTGATCACTCTACTCTGCAAATGTTTTGCAAGCAGCTCATCACTACATGATTTTTATTCTAAAAAGAATCAAAGCATTGTTGCAATTACAAATTTTAAATAGGAGAGGAAACTATTTTTATAACTTCTACTTTTTAAGCAAAAGTCAAGAAAATTTTTTGCTATAGGGTGTGTGCGCTCGCCCGAAAGACAAAGAGAGACAGAGAACAGAAAGCAAGGAATCATCCCCCAGGGGGAATGGCCATGCCACAATCCCTTTTCCTCCACTCTCCTCTTGGGATCTTGGGCACGCATGCACATGCGCCCGGCATGAGTTTAAGCCAGCAGGTCAAGGACTCGAACCATGGTCGACTACATAGGAGTCCAGTGACATAGCCATTATGCCAACAGCTGGTCCCAAGGAAAAAAAAAATTTTTTTAGAGGTTTTCGCTATAGGGTCCATGTGCTCGCCATACAGACAGAGAGAGACAGAGAGACAGAAAGCGAGAAATCAGCCCCCGGGGGGATGGTCACGCCGCAATCCCTTCTTCTCCATTCTCCTCTCAGGATCTTGGGTACGCACGCACATGGGCCCGGCGTGAGTTTTAAGCCACCGGGTCCGGGACGCGAATTGTGGTCGACTACATGGGAGTCCCGCGACATAGCCATTACGCTAACTGCTGGTCCCCCCAAGAAAATATTTTTTGAAGTATCATCTACATTCTAAGAGGATTCACTCTGAGTGACTCTCCCCCTTTGTAATAATTATCCTTGGAGAGCAGGTGCTTCTGTATCAGGTTTCAGAATCATTAGAATCGTTTATGACCAGTGACAGGACGGTCCCAGTGAGACTTCAGTTCTGTCTGCCGGCCAGAGGGCGTGGGAGATGTTATTCTGTTGCTGTAATTGTGGGAGATGAGTTATTCTGTTGCTGTAATTTCAGGTTTTTGTTATTTTGTTTCATGAGACAGAAGACCTCTCCCTAACAGCGCTCTGTCGGCACGTTCCTTCAATCATAGCTATGCTGCACTCCTCAGCGGAGGTTTCCCAGCTACTAACAGGCAACATTTAACGCACCAGCTGTTTTTCAAAAGTGGTTATTACTCCTGTTTCTTTTTACATAGACACACAGAGTGAGACAGTGTAACTCCTCTGTCTGCCCTCTCTGGGGCTCCCTGCAGGTGCTCTCAACCATGCGACCCCCATGTAACACCCTGTGCAAGAGCCACGGGACGCACGTGCAGGTGTAACCTGCTCCCACTTATTCTCGAGGGTCCCCGAAGGCAGAGAACATTGACCCTCCTTGACAACCTGTCCACAGCACGGAAGCCAATCTCACACTGGGCAGGCCAAAGACAACCTGGGAGACAATCGGGCACCTACCTCAAGATGAAGAGGTCCACAGTGGCATTGCTGGGGACCGTGACATAGGCAGTGACCACGTCGCCCTGCTTGACCGGCCGGGAGGGTAGCCAGATGACCACGTTGCTATCCAAACGCAACTCGCTGAGCTGGGTGCTCTCCTGGGCCCGATAAAGGCCCACAGTGCCAATCCTCTGCAGGTGGGACGTGGGCTCCTCCAGCCCAGCCCGGCCTGGTCGGATGGCGTTCCCCTTCCTCACGTCCCCCCCAGCGCAGTCCCCTCGCTCGTCGCCCGGCTGCACCGTGTAGTAGAGCTCCACCGGGCTGCCCTCCGGCTGGTCCACGGGCTTCTTCCTCCCTGCGACCACCGTGGGGGGGCTGAACCAGCTGGCCAGGAGCTCCAGCTCGGCCACGCACAGCCCCAGCTCCCCCTGCAGCCGGCAGCTGCCCCGCACCTCCTGCGTCTCCCGGAAGGCAAAGACACGCAGGCAGGGCAGCCTCTCCCCGGAGCCGTGGTCGTCCCAGTCCCGGCCCACGACGTAGAACAGGACCTGCACCTTGGGCCGGCTCAGGTAGATCCTCTCCCGCAGCACGTAGGCCTTCAGTTTCCAGTCAAAACTGAACTTCTTAGTTGGGCCTAAAAAGTTTGAAGTCTGCATTAAATCCAGAGGCACGATCTTCTCCACAGAAAAAGGCCCATAGCTGACGTTCACTGCGGGCGGCTGCGTGGCTTTGTAGGTGAAGAAGGACTCCACTCTGGACCGCAGGCTGGAGTTGCGCAGCACGTCCTGGCTGGCTTCCTTCAGGAAGAAGGAGGTCTCCGCTCGGGCGATGTGGTAGCTCACAGGGAGGTAGGGCGGCAGCGAGGAGACTCTCTGCATGTCGTCTGCGAGCCCGCGGCCCTCTATTACTGAAGGGGGAGGAGAGACGAGAGAGAGAGAGTTACCCAGAGGCCCCTCCAAAGTCGTCAGGCTGGTTCAATTGCTAACTTATACACGAGAGGTGGAGATCTGAAGTCTGCTTGGCTAGAATTTTTCTATTTCTGCAATCAGCCATGGCTGAGTCTACAGACTGCGTATTCATGTGAGGCTCAGACGTGGGCAGCCAAGACTGCAGGGTGAGAACTGCTGAATCGAATGGCAGTGATTTCCTCACAAAGCTGACCCTACGAGACTAAAGCGGACATTTTTATGCATGACTTGCATGTGGTACAGTGTAGCTAATGACAATAGTGCATGGACAGAAAGACCAGTGAGGTACAGCCCATGAGTAAGTCCAAGAATGTATGGAAATTTAGAATGTGATGTGGCACCTCAAATTGTCAGTCAAATATCTTCTTAAAAAATAATTTGCCAGAGGGCACATGTGCTCACCAGAGACAGAGAGAAAGGGAAAATGAGCAATCACCCTACCCCACGAGACATGGTCATGCCGCAATCCCGTCTCCTCCCTCTCTCCCTCCTGTTGGCACTTCGGGCACGCGGACACGTGTCCGGGGTGCTCTTTAAGTCACCAGGTCCAGGACTGGGACCTCACAGTCAGCCATGTGGGATCTGGCCACCTTAACCACCGTTTTACCAACTGGCCTCTAATACAGGCCCATGTGGGATCTGGCCACCTTAACCACCATTTTACCAACTGGCCTCTAATACAGGGTCTCCATAGGCCTGGATAACTGCGTAGATATTTGGGGAAAAAAACGAGATCCATATCTCATACCATACATAAGAAAAAACTTTAATGGATCACTGATTTAAATGTAGGAAAATGAAGTCTTCTAAGTACTAGAAAAATCATGTTTCACAAATTACTCTGTAACCTGGATGCAATGAGTTTTCTAATTATGGCTTAAATCCAAATACAATTTTAAAAAGTGACACATTTGACTATGTTCCTAAAATTGCATTACACCCACAAAAAACCCCATAAACATTAAAAAAACACATGCTAAGAGAAAGTATTTCCAGTGTACATGTCACAGATAAAGGGTTAGTATCCCTAGTATAGAGAGATCTTGAAATTTGAGGGAAAATATTAAGTATTTGAGGGACGGGGTAAAGGGCATAAACAGAAAATTCATCAAAAGCATAGTAAATTTGCTCTTACCCATAATTATTCACCCTTACTCACAATTAGAAAAATACAAATTAAAACTACCAATACCATTTCTCACCTAGCAAATTGTCAGCTGATGCTGCCCTGCCCTCCGCCTATTCGGGAGAGAGGAAAGCAGGGGCCACCTGCCCCGAGCTGACCAACAAAGCCGTCTACCCAGCCTGGAGAGGAGAGTGGGAAGACGGGCTGTCCAGACCTAACCGAACATTGCCCTGGTTCCTGCAGTCTCATAGACTGAAAGTAAATGCAAACAAAAATGAAAGACAGAAGCCATGGTATTGATATCAGACAAAATATGCATTAGGATAAAAATGGTAAAAAGAGACAAAGAAGGACACTACATAATTCTAAAAGAATGAATTCATTCAGAGATAAAATAATTAAAATTCACATATCCAAAATCAGGACACCCAAATATGTAAAAGAAAGACTACTAGATCTACAGAGAGATAGTAATTGTTGGGGATTTCAAAACCCCATTGTCACTCTGGTCAGGTCATCTAGACAAAAATAAACAAAGAGACATGGGAACTAAATGATACCATAAACCGAATGACCCTGACAGACAGACAAATACAGAACATTTCACCCAGCAACTGCAAATACATGTTTTTCTCATCTCCACAGAGGGCATTTTCAAAACTGAAAACATAATAAAGCACAAAGCAAGCCCATACAAATGTAAAATTATAGAAACAGAAACTATGTTCAGCATCTTCTCTGGCTCCAGTGGCATTAAACTTGAAATCAACCACAGAAAGAGCCCTAAAAAATACGCAAAACATTAAAACTAAACAACTTACTCTTGAACAATGTCCAAACTACTGAAGAAATTAAGACTGAAATCAAAAGATCCATTGAAACTCAAGGATAATAAACATACTACTCTCCATAATCTTTGGGGCCAGCAAAAGCAGTAATAATGAGTCCATAGCCACTAGTGCTCACAGGAAATGAAAATTTACGTTATCGGGGAAGTCGACATAGTTCTCTATGCTTTTCTATGCAAACATGTGTCATGACTCCCCCGATGACCCAGTGAAAAGATGGCAACTAACATCACATCTAAAGGAACTGGAAAAGCAACAACAACAAAATCCCCAAAAATAACAGGAGGAAAGAGGTAGTAAGATTAGAGCTGAAGTAAATAAAACAGAACAAAAGAACTATACAAAAAAAAAAAATCAAAGAGCCGTTTTCTTGAGGGTAAACAAAATAGACAGACCACTAGCTGGACTAATCAGGAGGACACAGAGAAAGAGGTCAGACAGATAAAATCGGTCATGGAGCTGGGAAAGAACACTGCTGGCAAAGACTTTGGGGAATAGCTCCCCAATGTACTGAGGCCAAGAGACAGAGAGAGAGAGAGAAGGAGAGAGAACACGGACCTGTGAAAGCAATGATATTCACACTGGAGAAATCTGGGTCAAAGACGGACGAAAATTTTTACTCTTCTTGCAACTTGACGTCTCAGACTGTGTCAAAATAAAGACATCTAATGACATAACCAAATGCAAGAAGACATTTTGGTTTTATTTTTAATTGCTCATCTCTCCCTGAGAGATTTCATTTATTTATTCATTTGTTAGGAAAAAGAGCAACAAGAGAAAACATTTTCCTCACATTATTCAGAAATAATAAGTAAGTGTACCATAATGTAATAATGGCTACATCCTTGAAATTCTTTAAGAATCTTGAATCATTTGGGTAGAGTGACTTTTAGTCACCAATCACCAAAGACACTGTTTTGTCCTCGTCATCCTCCTGCACAGCTAGTGAGCAAGTGTCCATCATTAACGCTTCCAGATGAAGAAGAGTGAAGGGGCATGCTCCCTCTCCACTGGCGCGAGCCCTGTTCCAAGTACGCGGAGACCCCTGGCTCCACCACTGGGATTCAGCTTTCTGGGTGCTCAGCACGGGTTGCTGCTTCTGCCCCGAGCCCTCTGCAGATTCGTATACAGAGAGAGAAGATGGGAGTTCCTCCATCTCCTCTTCTCTGCCCTCTGCCCTCTGGATCTCTGCGGATCAGATCCATTTACAGATGCAGCCCAGCCCACAGACGATTCTGTTCAGCCCACCATGTTTGAAAAGAGCTTCGAAAGTGAAACCCATAGGAGCCTGTCTCTGAGTTTCCAGCTTCTCTTTCACTATGAGAGGAGCTGGCCACATTTAGGCTTTCTCTCCCCCTGGCCACGATAGAAGGCTGGCCCTAGGGTTAGCGACTGCCCTACACTGCTCAATGAAGTTGCCTGCTTGACCCTCAGGTGCATCTGTGTTGGAGATCCCTGACTTAGAATCGTCACCCACCACGGCCATGTGCACTGGGAGCCCCTCAGCTCACATGGAGGCAGGCAGAGCAGCACAACACCCCTCTCTTCCTGAGTGTTTTGATCCATCGCAGACATCCACGGCAGTGCCTGTTTGCATGCTGTCCTTGCTAAGACCCCGCCTGAGCTGACATTCACGTTGTTGAGGGGGCCACTACAGGCTCAGTAAATAACCAGGACTCCAGAACTTAAAGTGGACCACATGTAACCCTGCAGACCCATGGAAGCCCATCTCCTCGCCCTGGTCTTTCGAAATTCCCAAATCCAAACACACCTCGATTCATATATTGAGAGAGAAGATGGGAGTTCCTGCATCTCCTCTGTCCCTTTCTCTAAGGGCGGCAAGCTCACCACCAGCATATGGGGCAGCTTCACTCTGCTCTCCTCTCTCCTCAGAACGCTCTCCTAATCCTCTTCCCGACAGAGTCACTGGCGAGCAGATCAAAGCTGCCTTTGGTGCAACAGCCAAAGGGCCTGGGTTGTCAAGATGGCTTTTCAAAGGAGTAACATCCTCTCCCGCACTTGGCCCGGAGGCCCTGTGCTCAGGTCAGGAGTGACAAGGGCATATTCGCCCCTCTCTTTTGGAAAGGCTGAGAGCTTCCGTTTTAACCCACTCATTTCAGAACCTGGCTAAAATATGTTTAGAGACCCTGCCAAGATAGGTAGAATTCCGGCTCTCCGTCCTGAAAGAATGGGTGCCGATGTAAGCCTGTGCACTCGCCCTGAGAACCCGGTGCACTAATTGCCACAGACTGCTTTCATTTCCAGGTATTCATCCCCGTCCAAAAAAGCTCTCAAACTTTGAAGTGCGGAGATTTAGAGACTCGTTTGTTTGGAGAAGCTAGTGGGCCAAGGACTCTCGGAGGGAGCCCAGGCTTGCAGACCCATCTGTCGGACGCCTTTTACCAAGGACGCCCTTGTCAACAAGCTTTGTCGTCTTTGTCTTCTCTTCCTTCACACAGGAGGTCCTTTCTCTTCTGCCTTTTTTTTAACTAAAAAATCCTGAGAGGTACACATTCTGCTTTTAAGCAAAAGCTGGGTTTCTGTCTGTATGAACTAAAGACGGAGTGGGCTTGGTGTCCTGTCTCCTCTTAGAGTCCTTCCATCAGGCTCACGAAGCTCACTCGGGACCCTGATGGCTCATCCCTTCCTGTTGAACCTAGCTCTGAATTCTTCTATTTCCTGAGAGATGTAACTTGTGCCAAAGAAGAGACAGACACTGTCAAGAGAGCAAGAGGGCCGAGGATAGCCAGGGCCATGAAGTCTGGCCTCCCCAGCCATGTGAAGGTAGGCAAGTTCTTAGCTCCTGGGAGCTTTGGCATTCACAAAGACAGACAGATTCATGTGTGGATAGCTGGCAAGGTAGACAGGAAACCAAGAAGAATGTAGGTAAATGGCAGAAATGAAAGAAAAAGAAGGGTGCAGGTAATGGCAGCTAGGCCGATGGGCCGGCGCACCTCGCT